TAGAACACAGGAAAGACAGACAATGTTCGAATTATACACAAATTATAGAACATCACATGATTGACCTATTATTAAGATCTTACTTCTTAGGTTATAATGGGCTTTGCACATACATGACTTCAAAGGAAGTTATATAATCCAGGGTTTAAAAGTACAGACTCCAGTGTTGCATAGACCTGGATGCAAACCTGGCTTGTTCCCTTACTCATAAACTGGGCTCTTGAGCAAGATTCTAAATTTCGGTTTCTTCATCTTTAATGGAAAAAAAATAGGACATTCATCACGAGGCTATTATGAGAATGCAGGGAGAGAGGGCACACGCAGCCTTCAGCACAATGCCTGACATATGGCTGCTAAATAGTAGCTATTTTTTCTTTTTAAAATACCATTCATTTTTTAAAATCTTTTTTTAGTAGCTATTATTATAGTGCATTTTTTCTACATAACACTTTTCTTCATCTCTTCCAGAGGAAAGACAGCTTTGAAATCAGACAGGTTTAGGATCATATTTCAAGTACAACACTTACTAGGTATCCCAGTTATAGTTAGTGTTGCTGTGACAAACACCATCACCAAAACAACTTGGGGAGGAAAGGGTTTATTTGGTTTACACATCCACATCACGGTTCATCATCAAAGGAAGTCAGAACCTGGAGGCAGGGGCTGCTGCAGAGGCCATGGATGGGTGCAGCATCATAGCTTGCTCATCCTGCTTTCTGATAGAACCCAGGAGTACCAGCCTGGGGGTAACCCCACCCCCCAATGGACTGGGCCCTCCTCCATAATTAAGAAAATGCCCTATAGGCTTGTCTGCTTATAGCCCAAATCTTATGGACATATTTTCTTTCTTTCTTCCTTCCTTCCTTCCTTCCTTCCTTCCTTCCTTCCTTCCTTCCTTTCTTTCTTTCTTTCTTTCTTTCATTCTTACTTTCTTTCTTTCTTCTTCCCTTTCTTTCTTTCTTTCTTTCTTTCTTTCTTTCTTCCTTCCTTCCTTCCTTTCTTTCTAAGATTTATTTATCACGTATGTGAGTACACTGTTGCTGTCTTCAGACACACCAGAAGAGGGCATTGGATCACATTACAGATGGTTGTGAGCCACCATATGGTTGCTGAGAATTGACCTTATGACCTTTGAAAGAGCAGTCAGTGCTCTTAACCACTGAGCCATCTCTCCACCCCTGGACATATTTTCTTAATTGAGGTTCCTTCCTCTCAGATGACCCCAGGTGTGTCAAGCTGACATAAAAGTAGCTGGAAATAAGGATACAGCATCATCTGTGAATATGGAGTGAAGTTTTTAGAAAGCCACATGAGGGCCTAACATATACTGACTTTCAATCTGTCTTTTGGCTTTTGAACCACTCCGTATCCTTCAGTGGCTATACTACAATCAGAGAAGTAAGACCCATTTCGTCTGAGTCACTAGGACTTCTCCTGGGACCCCGCTATTAAGAGGTGTAATAAACTTGTTCACCAAGACTTGATGAACATTGAGGGAAACAGGAAGGCTTTGGGAAGTGTTGGGGGTGGGGAGAAGAAGTTGAACTCCCCTTTCTGGATGTTTTAAAACTTATTTGTTGTTTGTTTGACAGACAGGGGTCATGTATATGCTAACCAAGTCCTCTAGCACTGAGCAGCAGCCCTTCTAATTTTAGGTTATGTTTATGATTTTTCAGTTTTTTTAACCCAAGAAATCCATCAACATGCATAAAACAGATTAACAGGGGCAAAGCATATTTATTAAATAAGTTTTTTATCCTTATAATAGTAACCCTCCTGTTGCTATAAAATACAACCAAAACAACTTCAGGAGGAAAGAGCTTATTTGATTGATGGGTTACCAATCTTGGGAAGCCAAGAAAGGAACCTGAGACAGAAATCATGGAAGAATACCGCTTACTGATTCATACTCCACAGATGGCTCAGCCTGCTCTCTTATACAACTCAAGACCCCTAGCCCTGGGTGGCACCACCTACAGTGGTCTAGGTTCTCTTGCATCTATCATTAACCAAGAAAACGCCCCACAGACTCGCCTACAGGCCGATCTGATTGAGGCAATACTTCTGTTGAGGTTCCTTCTTCCTAGGTGATTTCAGTTTGTGTCAAGTTGACAAAAACTAACCAGCACGTGCATTAAGTGCGCATCTTTAAAATGTTAATACAGATGAGTTTTAAAAAGTATATTAACACAGGAGTCCTTCTAAAGAAATAGTGAACCAACGGGAAGGTAGGTGGGATTGTACACACCTGAGATTGGACTTGGGAGTCTGAGGCAGGAGCATTGGAAGTTCAAGGTAATTCTCAGTCTGGGCTACAGGAAAATTAATCCTCTGAAAACAACTCTCACTACCACCAAGAAGCAATGAAGAAGTTATACAGTCAATCACATGCACTGAATCGGACAAGTGATAGCTAAGCTGTAAACCGAGGGAAGCTGAAGGAGCTCAGAGGAGGAAAGCAATTTGGGCACAGAGATGATTAAGAAGATAAAAATTACTGTAACAAGATCTGTGTGCACCGATGTCCTCAGCTTCAGCTTGGTGTCCTTGATAGTAAGAATGTTACTTTCCTTTTTGTATAAAGAAGACATTGTTCACATTGAAATGTCATTCCTGCTTTGGAGGAAAAAAATGAGATCCAAATGATCTTACACCTATTCTTGTTTTTCTTTCTTTTTGGAGTTAACTTATTTTATGTGTGTTTGTCTCTGTACCATGTGCATACAGTGTCCATGGAGGACAGGAGAGGGCATTGGATCCCCTAGACTGGAGTTACAGACAGTTGTAAGCTTCCATGTAGGTGTTGGGAATTGAACCCAGGTCCTCTCTCTCTGCAAAAGCAGCAAATGCATTTAACTGCTGGCTACCTGCTCTTTTTAAAGTGCTGTTAATTCAAAAATGGGCATTATACCACAGCAAAGTATTTTGGAATATTCTCTCTCTCTCTCTCTCTCTCTCTCTCTCTCTCTCTCTCTCTCTCTTTCTTCCTCCCTCTCTCCCCTCCCCCTCTCTCTCACTCTCTCACTTTTGAAATAATATCCCACTATACAGTCTTATAGTGTGTGCCTGCAATCCCAGAACTCAAGAATCCGAGACAGCCGGGCAGTGGTGGCGCATGCCTTTAATGCCAGCACTTGGGAGGCAGAGACAGGCAGATTTCTGAGTTCGAGGCCAGCCTGGTCTACAGTGTGAGTTCCAGGACAGCCAGGGCTACACAGAGAAACCCTGTCTCAAAAAACCAAACCAAACCAAACCAAACCAAACCAAACCAAACCAAACAAAACAACAACAACAACAACAAAAAAAAACTGAGACAGGAGGATCATTATGAGTTTAAGGCCATCTAAGGCTGCACAGTGAAGCCCTGCCACGGAAAGGGCAGGGGACAGTAGACTGCTCAGTCAGTAAAGTACTTGCCATGATTCATGATGACATGAGTTCAATTCCCAGTGCCCACATAAAAGGTCAAGTATGGTGGCATATACTTGCTATTATAGCACTGTGAGACAGAAACAGGAGGGTCCCTGGGGGCCCGCTTGCTTCCCAGTCTAGCCTAATCAGCAAAATTCAGATTATGATGAGAAAGTCTGTCTCAAAATGCAAAGACAACATTTCAACATCTGAGTAAGGACACCTGGGGGTGATGTCTGCCCTCCACATGTAAGTAAACATACAGGCAATGGAACTCATCCCACCACCTGCACACACACACACACACACACACACACACACAGAGAGAGAGAGAGAGAGAGAGAGAGAGAGAGAGAGAGAGAGAGAGAGAGGGAGAGAGCTCGTTGGGTGCAGTGGTATTTATTGTCTGTAATCTCAGTACTCAAGAAACAAAGACATAGTAAGGATCAGGAGTTCAAAGCCAGCCTGGGCTGACACAAAAATAAAAAATTAGGAAGGCAAGCCCAAGCCCATGGGTTTCCTATGAAGCAGCTGAGTCCTCAGAGCTGGGGCCTGAGTAAGAGGAAGTGACAATGGCCAGCCCCAGTGTTCTTGTTGGATGTGTGCTGATGTAAGGTTTTTCTTGAGAAGATGAGAAGCACTGCCTTTACTTATCAGGCAGTGAGAGTTGAGAACCTCCCTTCAGAGGCAGGGAGGAGAGGAAATAAAGGCCTCCCACAAGGCCTCTTCTATCTCAAGCTGCCAAATGGCTCTGTGACTCTGAAACTATGATTGGTCCCAGGAAGTGGGAGTCAGCAACTCTGAGGCAAGGAATTAGGCACTGAGTGTTTGGGTGGAATGCCAGCTCCTCAAAAGAATGCTGCTTTGTCCGCATGCCATCTGTGCCAAAGCAAAACACATTTATCAGCATCTGAAAACTGCAAGGGAAGAGTCCACGGAGTCTAAGCAACAGAAAGGGGCCAGGAGATATTGATTGTTCATGATAATCATTACTAATTTAAGAAGTATGAAACGTTTTGCTAGCCGGGCGGTGGTGGCACACGCCTTTAATCCCAGCACTTGGGAGGCAGAGGCAGGCGGATTTCTGAGTTTGAGGCCAGCCTGGTCTACAGAGTGAGTTCCAGGACAGCCAGGGCTATACAGAGAAACCCTGTCTCGAAAAAACAAAACAAAACAAAAAAAAAAAAAAAAAGAAACGTTTTGCTAGTCTCTTCCCTGAGAAAGCAGGTTTTATTATTTTACACAAAACATAAATGTGTGTAAGGGCTTAGTCCTCATAAGCTCATTTTCCATCTACTGTTGTGAGAATAAGCGTTTCTTGCCCTCTGACTACACCCTCCCATGGCGATTTTCAGGACTTAACCCCACGAACGAACTGGTGGTGGAAAAGTGGCACGGTTGCTTGGCATTTGTGCAGCTCCTCTTGACAGGACATGAATAGTGAGTTCCAGGGACTGTGTGGTGAGCAGGATTTCAGGAATATTCTGAGTCACCCATTATGTGGTCGCCACTCTGCCCTCAGAACTTAATTAGCACCAACAACTTAATTCATTTGAATGTGCTGGCTTTTTCTTCTCCTTTCTCCACAGATGGATGGACAAAACGGTGGGTACAATCTAAACATCAGTCAGATTACGGTAAATTCCAGCTGTCGTCGGGGAAATTTTATCAAGATAAAGAGAGAGATAAAGGTAAATACTAGAATTCAGGAACATAATGATTATATGACTTTTATTCAATTGTTTTTATCCGTGAATACCAATTCATTTTTCTTACCTGATAAACAAACAAACAAACAAACAAACAGGGCTGAGATGAACATGGTGGCACAGTCAGTTAGGGCTAAATGATGGGTTCCAGGGCAGGCTGGGTTACAGAGTAAGACCCTGTCACAATCAAACACACAAAAAAATTGGTAAGTGAAAAAGGGTAGTCTCTCCACAAAATTTATTATGTCCCATAGCTGAGTAATGGATATTTTAAGCTGGCCCTTTGCATATTATGTCTTTCATCTTTCTAACACTTTCACCGGGTGGTTATTGTTATCTTCCCAGTTTTGTAGAAGCCTCAAAAAGGTTTTGATATTTGCCTGAGGCTATACTTTACAGTTGAGGGGAACAGCTGAGACTTGACTTTGGATCTGACTCTAGGGACTCTGTTCATTATCACTAATGTGTGCTGTTTTCCCCAAACCCCTAGGATTTTTACAAGTAGCATTCGGCAATGAAAACCTGGGAAAGGTTTTCAATTTGGGTGCCAAGCACTCAAACGTCGCTCTTTCTAGAGCAGCTTTGCGTGATGGAGAGGACCTAACTGACGAGCTGTATAATTGGAGCATGTCTTTTTACTTCTCCAAGTGTTGCTATTAGACAAACATAACTATCACCTGCCATTCTCACTAGGCAGAGCTTTGTAAAAGCCAAATAACTCTGTGGAGGAAGGGTGAGCTCCGAGGACAAGGACTGAGGGCATGGGTTCTTGGTCTGAGAAAGCTTTTGTTCTATAAATAGAATTCATTGATCATCCCCTGGAGTGATTTCCCATCTTCCTCCATCTGGCTACTGTTATGAATCTCATTTTCATATTTATTAGAGGGGAGAATTATGAGCTGGCTTGAGCATTTTAAAATCTTGTTTAAATCCTTTCTGGAAAACTGTTTTCAGAGGACAAAGAACTGGAGACTGGGCAGTCCCCGGGATGCCTGTGCCTTGGGACTGCAGTAGAGGCAATCTGCACTGCCTCATCTCTTTACAGTCTGGCTTTCTGGTCCAGCCTCTTGCATTCTATATCTAAGCCTGTTAGACTCTGGGTTGTCAGAAAAGACACTGCAGTAACAGTGAGACTGACAGAAGGAGGTTGGCTTGGTTTTTATAGCGGGGTGTGGCTGGGCAGAGACTCAAAGCTTGGTCTTCGGCAATCTGTTCATTCCTTCCTGGCTCTTATAGCCCCTTAGAGATCATGAGAGAAGTAAAAAAAAAAAAAATACCCTTGAAAACACAGACAGCTCCCAGCATGATGTCAGACATGAAAGTGTTTACCACAGAGCTTGGTGTTCAAGAAATGCTTGAAACTTGTCTAAATCAGGTTCTGTGCTCCTTCTTGTAATTTAGCATGCTTTAAAGACAGGGTCTTGTATAACTCAAGTTGGCCCTGGACTACCTATCCCCTGCTTCTACCTCTCAAGGGTTGGGGTTATAGGTGTATGCCACCACATTCACATTTAACACTTACTTATTGAGCATTTTCAGATGTCTGTCATTTGTGATTACACAATCACAATTCCTTAGCAAGGATATCTCTATTTGATTACTTCATATGGTTAGTCTAGAAAAGTTCTTGTCCTTGACAGCTTATTCACTGGGGGTTGGGGACTCTGTACTAACAACTGCTTTAGTGATCTCTATCATGTGAAGTCATTTCAACTTCTTCACAATAAAGTGAAGAAACTGGTATAGTTCAGCTTTCATTGTTACTGTGAGGGTTGAATACACACACCTGTGTGAATGAAAAAAACTATCTGGTAGAGTTAAACGTTAAGGACTTGGGAGATGACACTGGGTAAGAGTGCTTGCTGAGCAAGAGTGAAGACCTGAGTTCAAATCCCTAGAACCAAGGCTGGAGATGTGACTCAGTTGTTAAGAGCACTGGCTGATCTGACAGAGGACCCTGGTTTCCAGCACCCATGCCCTCCAGTCCTAGAGAATCCATTGCCCTTTTCTGACATCTGCAGGCACTATATTCATGTGGTGCATAGACGTTAATGTAGACAAAACATCTGTACACTGGTAAAATTAGTAAATAAACTCCCATGACCCATATAAAAAGCTGAATGGCTGTGTACTCCTGTAACCCTAGTGCTAAGGTAGGGGTTGAGGCAGGGATATGAGGATCACTGGGCTTACTGGCTGCTAGTGCTAGGTTCAGTAAGAGACCCTGTCTCAAAGCAATAAGGCAGAGAAAGCAAGGCAACTGGCATCTCCCTCTGGCCAGTGTATCCAGAAGCATGCATACCTGTGTGCATGCAACACACACTCAATTTTTACAAAAGAGATAAATTATTTAGAGATTAAAATATTAAGTGAACTATAGCAACAATTGTTATTTTCAATAACTGTTTAATAATAGTCTGAGTTATTTCTGGGCTTCTTACTGCTGTAGCCCTTATACACCACAGAACCTTATTCTGCTACCTAGCCAGCCTCAGCCGGGCAGGGCCTTGGCTTATAAGGCTGCAGAATGATGCTGAAATGTCTCCAGAAAATAAGTGATGGCATGATGTGAAAGAATGTATCAATGTGGCTAAAAATTCCATCCAGGTTCCTTCTTTGCCTTGCAGCTTACGCAGATCGCCGCTTTCCCTCCCCATGACTCAGCCTCCTAACTTATTAAACGGGCACAGTGCCCATTTTTTCAGGGCCACTCAGAGGCTCGGATGAGAAAATATTATAATGCTCTGTGCACAACACCTGGCACACCATGTGTGAGAGGAAATACTGGAGCTTGGTTAAGTAAAATGCTGGGTCTCTCTAGGTACTTTCGGGGAACTTCAGCCTGAAGCCTCTGCACTTTCTCTCTGCTCTCAGGTCTCCAGACCACAGAAGATGCCAAGTTCTATGCCCTTTCCACCAGGTTTAAGCCATTCAGCAATGAGAATGAGACCTTGGTGGTTCAGTTTTCAGTAAAACATGAGCAAGGCATCGATTGCGGTGGTGGGTATGTGAAACTCTTTCCTGCCACACTGAACCAGGAGGATATGCACTCAGAATCCGAGTATTACATCATGTTTGGTAAGCTCCCTGGGAGCAGTTGTTCCCAGTCCCTTGGGATTTGTATAAGAACCACTGTGATGGTTGAAAAGACTTGTATAGACCTGGAACAGACAGTATGTAATTCAATAGTTCCATATTCTCATGCAGTAGGACTCTCTAGAGACCTGACTAGAAGACAACCTCAAACTCAAATGTTAATATAAATAGACCAACAAGGGGGAAAGCACATGGCATCAGCAAGTCTGTAGCACATGGAGACAGCCCAGTTCTCAGAAAAGGAGAAGCACAGGCCTACAGTAAGGCACTGTACTCAGCCTCAGAGAGAAAGACAGCCAAAGTCAGGGAAGTGACCTTCTGTAAGCATTTGTGAATGTTCAGAGTGTGACATCTATAACTAGGTCTTCTTGAGGAGATCCAGCTTTTAGCCACAACCAACCTTGAATCCAGTTTCAATATGATACTGAAAAATCAGCAGACATCAAGCATTCCAACTTTTAAAGTACAGATGAATGTGGGTTAGACCGAAGGTTTTGTACAAAGTCAGTGAGAGGGTTATGCTGGGCAGCAGGCACTGACATGCCCTTAATTCTCTTTAGACACTTCCTTTCCCTGGCAGCCTCAGCTAGCTCCTCTCCCCTCTCCTTTCTTTCCCCCTCCTCCCCTTTCCTACCCTCCCCCAACCTGGTCTTCTTCCTTTTTCAAATCCTCCTCTTCAGCTTCATTGCCCCTCTTTAAAATCTGCACCCTCTTTTTTCTTAAAATCCACACTCCTCACACACAAGTTCTCACCATGTAGCTCAGATCGGCTTTAAACCCACTGTGATTCTCTGCTTCAGCTTCCCAAGTGTCGGGATTATAGGTGCAAGCCCTCACACCTGCTTCCAGTTCTTCTCTTATGCAGAGTAACACTTAGAGTGTGTAATGTGTGTCTGCTTCAGCATCATCTTTGCATTTTCTTCTCAGTCTGTACCATGTGTTACTATTTCCATTTTGCAGATAAGAAAATTGAGGCAAGAAATTTGCTCAGGGTAAGTAGAAAGTCAGAACTTGAGTCAGTCTGTATATAAAGCCAAAGCCTTCTTCCTTAAAGCAGCTGGATAACTTTTTAAGCGGCAGAATGGAATCTATGTTTGTAAAAAAGTGTTGAGCCAGACTGGAGAGATGGCTCAGCAGTGAAGAGCACTGGCTGCTTGTCAAGAGGATCCAGGTTTGATTCCCAGTACTCACATGGCAGCTTATAACCTTCTCCAGTTCCAAGGGATCCAACTCCCTCTTTTCTGGCCTCCACTGGTACTAGGCACATAGTGGTGCACAGAAATATATGCAGACAAAATGCCCATACACATAATAAAAACATAAAAATAAGAATTTAATTTGAAAAGGGTATTGAACCAAGTGTTATGCTACATACCAGCATCCAGGGGCAGAAACAGGAGGATTGCTAGGAATTTGAGGCCAGCCTTGTCCACACATCACCTGAACACACCTTTCCATAGTTCATGGCCTGTGCATTCACTGTTCCCACGTCATGGCCTAGGTCAGCCAAACCACTCTTTACTCCTTGTTCCCACCTTCTCTTCAAGGTTACATGGAATCTCTCTTCCTAGGCTGTGAGCTCCTGGAGGCCTGGCAATATACCTCAAAGCCTAGCACCAAGCATGAGCTCCTGGATGCCTGTGTTAACTATGGAGTGCTTGAGTGAGTTCCAGGGGATTCGTCTTTCATTTGGCTGGTGAGACAGCCAAGGATACAGAGTGTCTTTATAAAGTTATTTGGGGAAAAGTATTGATGAGGAGCTGCTATGAGATCATAAGAGGCAGCCTGGTTGAATACAACTGGGGGCTTTTTGGAGGACGTATTAATTATTCTTTAAAGAGTGGGTTTGATTTTAATAGGAGGAGGAGGAGAGCTTGAAATCGGGGCAAAATCAACAGTGTGTGCAAAAGCTCAGGCATGAAATTCAAACGTATGGTAAATAGGGAGAAGATCAATGTGGGTAAATGCCTTGTGTGCATGAGTGTGAGTATGTGTTGTGCTATGAGTATATGTATTGTGGGGTGTGTGTGTGTGTGCATGTGTGTGCAGGTGTTTCCTACTTGATATTAGCTGACAGGCTGAGAAGCTCTTTGTGAGTTATAAGAGAATATGAGAGCAGTAACAAGAGTCTCAGACCTCTCCAGACTCCCCGGCTCTGATCCATCGTTATCACTAGGACTGTCACAAGGCAGAAGGGCTCACAGGCTCTGTTACTAGGTGGGCATGGCTTTGAGTACTTGCAAGGCATCTTACCAGATCTTTGGGCAATCTGCTTGACTTTTCTGAGCCACCTAATTTGTCTTAGTCAGGGTTTCTATTCCTGCACAAACATCATGAAGGGGAGGAGGAAAGGGTTTATTCAGCTTACATTTGCACATTGCTGTTCATCACCAAAGGAAGTCAGGACTGGAACTCAAGCAGGTCAGGAAGCAGGAGCTGATGCAGAGGCCACGGAGGAACGTTACTTATTGGCTTGCTTCCCCTGGCTTGCTCAGCTTGCTTTCTTATTGAACCTAAGACTACCAGCCCAGAGATGGTACAACCCACAATGGGCCCTCTCGCCTTAATCACTAAAATGCCTTAGAGCTGGATCACATGGAGGCATTTCCTCAAGGGAGGCTCCTTTCTCTGTGATAACTCCAGCTTGTGTCAAGCTGACACACAAAACCAGCCAGTACACCATCTAAAGTGAGGTGGCAATGCTTATTTGTTAGAATTAGTGGCACACTGGCAACCCCTGCTGTACTGGCTGGTTTGGTGTGTCAACTTGGCACAAGCTAGAGTCATCAGAGAGGAATGAGCCTCAGTTGAGAAAATGCCTCTATAAGATCCAGCTGTAAGGCATTTTGTCAATTAGTAATCAATGGGAAAAGGCCCAGCCCATTGTGAGTGGGGCCATCACTGAGTTGGTAATCCTGAATTCTATAAGAAAGCAGGCTGAGCAAGCCATGTGGAAAAAGACATTAAGCAGCAGCCCTTCATGGCTTCTGCATCTACTCCGGCCTCCAGGTTCCAGTCTGGAGTTTCTATCCTGACTTCTTTTAGTGATGAACAGCAATGTGGGAACCAAATAAACCCTTTTCCTTCCCAACTTGCTTTTTGGTCATGGTGTTTCATCACAGCAATAGAAACCCTACTTAGATACCTGGCTTCAGAAGGCTTGCAGTTGGCTTGGTCATGGAGCCCTGGCAGGAGATTAGAGAAGAAGTGAGTTATATCTCTCAACTCAAAGCCTGCTTCTCTGCTGTTGTGCCTGCTTCCAGACTCTCCTCTCTCTCACCCCTCCCGTCCCCTTTGCTGCTGCTGCCCATGAGAATCACTGAACCTTTCCTTCTCAAAGTCTTGTCTCCCCTTTTATAAAAAAAAAATCCCATTTATTTGATACTTCTCAAATAATCCTGACTTTGAGTGTGGCATCTGTCTCTTTCTGGAACCATGGAGTGATACACAGGCTGCATCTGTCTTGGGTCTTGGCCTCAGACTGGGCACACTGCCTGAAATAGATGTGAAATCATGCTCTGGGTTTAATTTCCAGGCCCGGACATCTGTGGCTTTGGCAACAACAGACTACAGGTCATCCTTTATCACAAAGGGAAATACCATGAGAACAACAAGACCCTCAAGTGCAGGGTGAGTGTGTGGATTAGTCCTTATCCTAGAGCAAAAGAGTTTTATTTTTTTAACTTTATTTATTTTTATATGTATGATTATTTTGCTATATGTATACTACATATGTGCCTGGTGCCCACAGAGATCAGAATAGGATGTCAGATCACCTATATCAGAGGCACAGATTGTTGTGACCTCTCATGTGGGTGCTGGAAGTTGAACCCAGGTCCTCTGGAACAGAAGCCAGTGCTCTAAACTGCTGAGCCATCTCATCTATCTCTATAAAAAATAGTATTTAATACATGGTATCTCGTTTTTTCCTTATCAAACTACCAATTAAATGTTATTATCTCCATTCTATAGATTAAGTAGACCTAGAGATGTGCTATACATTGTAAGGAGCTCAAAAAGGAACAGCTGACCAAAAACCCTGGGATTTAATATAGTGCAATATTTGGTGTGGCATAGTTACTCCCTGTTAGATATTGGGGTGGGCATCAGGAATGCTATGCTTAGATGATATGGAGTCCGTCAGTTTACCTCAGTAACGTAAAATTAGAAGCATCTAGATTAGCTAGAAGACAGTAGGTGTATGTTCAGTTAATAGTCCTAACAGGCATTATTAACCAAATGTTAATTCTGTCTTGGGCCTTGAGTATGGGATAGATCTGGCCAGACAGGGCTTTCAAATTAACCAAACTCACAGTAAAGTCTGACACAGTTATTTGTGCCTGCAATCCCAGCTACTACCCAGGCTGAGGTGAAGGGGTTGTGAGTTCAAATGCTAACCTAGACAATTTACCAAGATCCTACCAAAACAGAACAAAAACTTCACAATTAAGATAAGAGTCAAGCAAAGGAAAGTGACTACCTTCATAACATTGAAGCAGAGAAGGGGGCTCCTCCCCAACCTAGGGCTTAGATAGGAACTGCTTCCTGAAAAAGTCTTCCTTTGTGCTGAAAGATGAATATGCTCTAGAACACTTGTGTGACAACTTTATGGAGAGAGGAATTCCTGGATGAGGAGTCTGCATGAGAAAAGTCAAGGAGACTTAAGAACTCAAGGCATAGCATGATGGCTGATACTGGAGCACAAGAGAAAGGCAGGAACAGAGTCTAGAAAAGTCCATAAATCCAGGGCATTGAACCTTGTGTTGAAGTTTAAGCCTTCCTGATCAGCCCTCTATACAGGCCTGGGATGTGCTGAGTCAGCCTGGAAGCTTAGGCACAATAAGAGAAATAATATGTGACCTCCTACTGTTGAGAAGCTCACAGTTTAATAGGACAGAAAGAAAACAAGATAAATCAGAGAATAATGAGAGCTTCAAATGGGTAAGGGCTAGAGGGCAGGAGACACCACAGAGTGAGACTGCAGGGTGAGCCAAGATTCCCTGCCAGTGTGTTAACTAGAAGAAGGGGAGAAGGGATGTGGTAAAGTGTGTGTAATATGTGGGAGGGAACATTCAGGCAAGCATGTGAGATCTACAATAGTCCTCTATGGGTGTGTGATATCTACAACAGTCCTATACAGGACTGAAATAGTACCCATTCCCTTTATAGATCAATAAAGACACTCACCTGTACACACTGATCCTTCGCCCTAATGCTACTTATGAGGTTAAAATTGACAACGAGAAGGTGACAAGTGGAGGACTGGAAGATGACTGGGAGTTCTTGCCTCCCAAGAAAATAAAAGACCCCTACGCCAGAAAACCAAGGAAATGGGATGAACGGCTACAGATAGAGGATCCTGAAGATAAGAAACCTGAGGTCAGAGGGAGTATATCAGGGAAGATAATCTTGGGGAGAAGAGAGTATAGTCGGGACATTAAAAGAGGTGATTAAGTCAAGTGTCTGGATGGCTGGCATCATGAGAAAATGAGGGTCTGAGTTCAAGCCAGGTCCAGCAGGCATGCTCAGGGTAGCAAGACTAAAGGTGAAGACTGCGTGGGAGCAAATCACATACAAACCATAGCAGCAGCTCACACAACTGAGGGCAGGATGAGGTCAGACAATAATACCCATCCCATCCAAGGTGAGTTTAAAGTACTCAAAGTCAGAATGAAGGTGCACCCATCTCTTGCACTGGACCATCATACACTGGAGCAGGAGGGCAGGGTAGATAGGGAGCCGACTCCCCCTGTCTGTACTTGAGTCCCCAGTTTCCTCCCACATCATGTCTATCTTCATGAAGGAACATTTTGTTTTAGGACTGGGAGGACTCTGAATTCATCCCAGACCCAGATGCCAAGAAGCCGGATGACTGGAATGAGGCGATGGATGGAGTGTGGGAAGGGCCCCTGATACCAAACGTCAAGTACAAGGTGAGGAGCCTCTCTTTCCAATGAGAGTTTATAAAGAGACATCAGATGTAAATTCTAACTTAAAAATTCTAACTTGTAGCCGGGCAGTGGTGGTGCACACCTTTAATCCCAGCACTTGGGAGGCAGAGGCAGGCGGATTTCTGAGTTTGAGGCCAGCCTGGTCTACAGAGTGAGTTCCAGGACAGCCAGAGCTACACAGAGAAACCCTGTCTCAAAAAAACAACAACAACAAAATAATAATTCTAACTTGTAAAATACAATTTCTAATCTGTGGGCTTGTAATCCTAGCCCTCAGGAGGTTAAGGCAAGAAGATTGCAATTTCAAGGACAGGCTGGGCTATCCATCAAGACCATGTCTCAGAATGAAATAAAACAAAATAAAAACAAAGCAGAAATTCTGAGATTCCCTGCTCTTTCCCTCTACACTCTGAATAGGATGCTGGCCACATTATAGCCCTATTCTCAGATTCTTCCTACTTATAAGTGGGGAGGGCTGGTAAGGCCAGCTCTAGGAGGCTGAACCACTTATAATGGTTCAGGCAGGCTTGGGCAAGGAGCTTGCCCAGAGCTGGGAAAAGCTGCCAGTTAAAGGAACATGATGCAAACAGGAAACAGTTTAGAACTCAGGAATTGAATGTCTTACAAGCAGGCTAGAAGGGCAAAGAGTGGGATCTGCATGAATCCAAGATATTTAAGGTAGAGGAACTTCCTTTTAAGGGTCAATTCCTGAGCTCATGTCAGAAGCAAGAACTAAAGGAATCAGCCAACAAATGGCCTAGCAATAAAGTTGACTGAAGCAGGATTTTATTTGGCCACAGTTTCCTGCACTGCACAGGAGAAAGAGAACAGCCTCAAGTGCCACAATATTTAGACAATGTTCTCCAAGAAGCTGCATTTTCTTAACTTCATGGATGTGCCTGTTCAGAGAGAGAGCCAGGCCAGAACAGACTCCTGCCATGTCATTTCACTCCCAGTGGGTGGAAAAGGGAACTGGGAAGAGTCTTATGCCTTTATTCAAAGAAAGGGAGAGTTCTCAGAGGCTGGTACACAACTCTTTATGAGCTGATTGATGCTTTTTGAGTATGAAATGTTAGAAGAATGGAAAATTATTACTGACATAATAACCACTCTTTGTCGGTTTTCTGTTTAGGGAGAATGGAAACCTCGGATCATTGACAATCCCAATTACCAGGGGGAGTGGATTCACCCAGAGATAGACAACCCCAAATACAGGCCTGACCCCACCATTTGTCACTATCATAATATCAGTGTCCTTGGCCTGGAGCTTTGGCAGGTAAAGCACCTGGGCTCATAGCCCCTGACCAGTGGTCCTTTGAGCTCCCACAAAGTAGAAGAAGCAAGCCCCAGCCTGGAAGTTACAGACTTGAACAAATCTTGATCTTTCTAAACCTCAAACAACTTCTCTTTAAAGTGGGAGTAATTATATTTAGCCTCAAAATTTACTGAGTCCCTTCTGTGACCACTGTATTCAGAACTCTGTCTGTTCATTTAATTTTCACTGCATACCTCAAAAGAAGGGCCAAAAATTTAAATAATTTTCCTGAAGATATGCATCTGGTAATGGAAGCAGAAAACTTGGGCCTGAGCGCTATTCTTTCTTCTTCAGACCCACTCTAGTGTATTACTAATACGTTTGATGCCTTTGCTGATCTTACATGGTTCCTTTGGGTGTCTCATTTTGTGATAAGGACTCCTTTCGTCTAGGCTGGCCTCCAATTTGCTAAGTAGCAGAGATAACCTTGAACTTCTGACCCTTCCACCTCCAACTCTAACTGTTCAGTCACTAAAGCTTCTGGTACAAGCACCCCTCTGTTTTACTTTCCTAGTTTCTTTATTCATTTTTCTGCTTTATTTTTTTTTCTCACTTTCTCAGCTTTCTAACTTTGGGAGATCAATATAGAAATGGAATGAAGCCATACCAGATGCCAGGCAGGGTTTCAGAAGAGCAGGAAAAAGGAAGGGGCACCATGTTTCCTTCCTTCCGGGCTTATCTGAAAAACAGGGATGCAAGCCATGCACGTTTGTATTACTACCTCTTTCTTTTTTTAGGTTGTTCCTTTTAAGTAAATTAGAACTCTCTACCTCATGTAAATAGATAGAATCATATTAATGTGCAAACTTTTTACTTAAAAAATTAGATTTGTGTGTGCACATGCCATGGGCTGTATGTGGAGGTCGGAGGACAAGTTGTGAGAGCCAGATCTCTTTTTCTGTGATGTGGGTTCCAGGAACTGAACTTGGATCATCAGGCTTGTCCACAAATGTCCTTATCTCAAAGCCATCTCACTGGTCTTTAAAATCTTTCTCCCACTAAAAACATTAGGGTACACATTTTATTCTATATATGGTATTAATTTTTCTGGGTTCTGTCAACTTCTCTAAATAGGCAAACCTACTTGAAGAATTTAACCATGTCAGATGAGTGTTCCCCAACCTTGATACCAATGCATGTAGGTCAACAGAGGAGTGTGTGTGTGTGTGTGTGTGTGTGTGTGTGTGTGTATGTGATAATTCCACACAATGCTGACAACATCCTCATAGGTATTTTTATACTTATAATTTCTAGGTAGGTCTGACTCCTTGATCATACTCCTCTTCATTCAGCTAAACAGAATAGCCAGTTAAAAATAGAATTCTTGTATCTTATAGGAAAATATCAAAGTGACTGAGCACAGAGATAGACAACATTCTTTTTTTTTTGAATTGTCTAATGATAAACTTTTCTTTTTTTTTCTTTTTTTATTTAATTTTTTTTTGAACATGAAATGCTTTTTTATAGCATGTTTTACAAGGGGAGGGGGTAAGAGGGGTCAGGTGGTGGAAAAGTACAGAATCTTCTTGGCCTGTGCCTTGAAACATGTCATGGTCTATACGGTACACTGCCTTGAATTATGATCTATCTGCTGTTCTTCAGAAGATATGGTACACTGCTTGAGTTATGGTCTTCCTGCTATTCTTCAGAAGATATGGTACACTGCTTTGAGTCTATCTTCAGTTGCCAAGCTTCAGGGGACATTGTGCAGGTGGGGAAAGGTAGGGGGTGAGGGTAAGGGCGAGGGTCCTGGCTTCTGGCATCTCCCCCTTCTCTGTTTAGTTAGAGAAGGCATCTTATGATCAATCCCAACTATGTGAGTTTTGAATTTGGATGATAGACAACATTCTTTACCTGCTCCCTCTAGCCATGAATTTTCCAGCTGAGATGCTATGCTATTTCAATTGCCTTCTTTATCCTGCCTCTGTCCTTGTGACCAACCTAAGTCATTGACACTTTCTGTTTCCTATTCTGTTGCCTCCAAACCATTGCAGTATTTTTCCCCCTACTTGGAAGTGATTGCGTTCTGGGGTCAGTTCAGGGCTGAAGCTGGGAGGAGATTACAGAGAACAAACATTCGTTTTCTCTGGGACTCCATATGATCTTGGAAGGGATAGTAACACAATAATGCAAACTGCAATGAGTCTAATGCAAAGTACACTGATACTCTTACATCAGGTGATCTGGACCACAGCCCTGTGAGGCAAGGAGGGTAGGACTTGCAGGGAACAAACCCAGGACCTTACTTGTTAGGCAAGTGCTGTACCATGGGCTAAGCCCATGTCCTTACTTCTATTTTACTAATGAGATGTAGTGTAGTTAGGGCTCAAGGATGTAGATTGACCCATAGCTAAATACTTATATTCCTTTTTATTTTAATTTTTTGTAAGTGTAGTGGATGTGTGTAGGCTAGAGACTGGCATCTGGATATTGTTCCTCAACCCTCTGTCCATCTTACTTTTTGAGACTGGTTTTCTCACTGAGCCTGGATCTTGCTGTTTTCTCCAGACTGGCTGTCCAGTGTGTCCTCCTGTCTCTGTCTCACTGGATTGGGATTACAGGCCTGGGCCCTGAAGCCGGATTTTGCATAGATGCTGGAGATCCAAACTCAGGTCCTTATAAGCATTTTACCTGCTCCCATCCCTCTAGCCCTACTCTTTCCACTTTATGACCCAAGAGGAATAGCACAAGAATTTCCAAGGAGTTAGCTTGTGAAAACATCTTTAAGACTTTGTATTTTACAATCAAATTCAATTCTTTCTCATATGATCTTTTCTCTTAATTATGAGAATACAGCAGGGGAAGTGTGTTTCCTCCCATTTGCGTTTTTCAGATAACAACTTGTAAGCACAGATGGGAGATAAATAGATCAAAATCAGCATAAGACCAAGGATTAGGAAGCAGGGCTGGCATTCTCACAATCCAGAAATTTGAAGTAAGGTAGAGAGGGAACAGAGGTCACTGAAGAAAACAGGGATGTGAGAAGATGGGCAAGCCAACAGAAGGGCAGCTTTCTAAGTGAAATTGCAGACAACTCAAAAGAAAAAAAAAATCCAAAAGGTCAGAAAACACCTCACAGTTGAAAAGTGAATTTTATAAGCCAACTTAAAAATACATGACTTAGAGCAAACGAAACATTCTGCTCTCCTGTGTTCATTTGTCATTTGTTTTTCTGCCAGAAGCAGTGTTAGTGGAATGGGAGCCAAATAAAAAAAGTCTTTCTTATTAAAAACAAAAATGCAAAATGTATCTAGGTTCTTGGTCACAAAGAGTAAGACAGAGCTTTATACAGTATAGAGGAGAGGCACACAAGCCCTCATACTTCGAACATTTTCTTGGCCACACAGCTGTTTGGGTAAAATTAACAATGATTTGTTTTTAATTTTTTGAGACAGGGTCTCATTATGTAGCTTTGGCTGTCCTGGAACTCATTATATAGACAAGACTGGCCTCAAACTCACCAAAATTAACCTGTCCCCACCTCCCAAATTCTGGGATTAAAAATATGCATCACCATGCCTAGCTTAATAGTGATTTGGCCAACATATTGGCAAAATTAATAAAAAAAAATCACAGATTGGCAGCCTTTTGGTTCCTTGAAACATCCAGAAACTGAAAACTTATAATCATCATCATCTATTGAATGATATTCATTAGGCACTGTGCTTTAGATACAGAAGTTCTAATTTTCATGACACTACTATAGAGAGAGTTACTATTTCCCATGATTTATTATTATTATTATTAGTAGTAGTAGTAGTATTAGTATTAGTATTTATTACTGTTTTGAGATAGTTTTTCCCTGTCACCTTGGCTGGCCTGGAACTCACTATGTAGACCAAGCTGGCCTCAGCCTCACAGAGTCCCACTTGCTACCTGCCTCTGCCTCTTGAGTGTTGGTATCAAAGGATGTGTACCATACCCCTCATCATTACCATCATCATCATTATAGACAGGTCTTAGTAGCCTGGTTGATATCAAGCTCTCTGTGTAGTTAAAGCAGACCCTGATTTCCTTGTCCTTCTATTTTAATCCACACCCCCCAATCCTAGGATTACAGGCATTAACCATCATACCTGGCTTCCTTGATTTACTTATGAGAGTAACTCGGAGGGTTGAGTAACTTGCTTACTATCATAAAACTAGAATGTAGCTGAGCTGGTCTGTTCAAGTCTGTGTCTTGTGCTCCTTTCTTGTTGCAGGAAGTAGTAAAAAAAATGAATGGCGATACTGCTGCCAACTCTCTGCCCTGGTGTGGTTGTGCCACCTTTGTCCCTTGCTAGGCCCCCACAGTGGCTGGTCACTCTATTCCCAGCACTGGAGGGCCACATGGCACCTGAGCTCCAAAGTTTCTCCACCCAGCTCTCTAAGTTCCCACTGGAGGGTCACTACCATGCTAGCCCTGTGCTTCAAATCCCCCATGACCTTTGTGGTGCACACCAGGCAAACCCACGCTTTGCCACTGTACCTTTCTCTCTTGAATCCAGTTGAGTTGCTGCAAGAAGAAAAACACCACACAAACTTAGTTTAGAAACAATGGCAACTCAGTCTCTGGGCAAAACAACTAGAATGCTAATCTTGTAAGCCATATAAAATCTAAATCCTCCAGTGGTGAATCCTGGCAGATTCACCATAAACCAGGAGAAAATAGTAGCTACATCTTGCCCTATTGCTATCCTGTTTGAACCACCTCTAACCTCTCTCCTGCTCCTTCTCTTCCTCCCCCCCCCCCCCCGCAACTCCTAGCTCTGCCTCCCTTTTCCCTGTTCAATCACAGGCCTGCACTAATATTTAAATAGATTGGAGAGAGAAATTCCTGCCACACTTTCTATTGTATTCCTTTGTCATGAAATAAACACAGACTATTATAAAGCATAGGTTTAATCTTTTAGACACAAATACTAAAATTTTGATTCTTTTTTGAGACAAAGTTTAATGTACTACTACATAAAGAGTTTGAAGTTAGCCTCTGGTGTATGGTATCCCCGATATGCTGGGATTGTAAGCATACACCACCAGACATGGCTTCACAGCATACTTAAAGAAAACAGAAGCCGGGCAGTGGTGGCACATGCCTTTAATCCCAGCACTTGAGAGGCAGAGACAGGCGGATTTCTGAGTTTGAGGTCTGGTCTACAGAGTGAGCTCCAGGACAGCCAGGGCTACACAGAGAAACCCTGTCTCAAAAAACCAAAGCGGGGGGGGGGGGGGGAGAAAGAAAGAAAGAACATAGAGAAAGGGGGTGTAGAGATGACTCGGCCGTTATCAACATTCACTGCTCTTGCAAAGGACCCTGGTTCTTTCTGTTAATAACATCCATATGGTGGTTCATAATATTTTGTAACTCTACTTCCAGGGGATTCAATACCCTCTCCTTCACACATGTGGTGAACATAAACTGACACAGGCACACAAATATCCAAATAAATAAGGTAAAACCTTTTGGGGTGTGTGTGTGTGTGTGTGTGTGTGAGTGTGTGTGATTTACAGGTATATATGCATATACCCATGGCCAGAGGAGAACATCAAGTGCCCTGTTCTATCACTCTCTGCATCATTCTCTTAAGACAGGGCCTCTCATGAACCTGGAGCTAGGTGATCCAGCAAGCCCCAGTGATCCTCCTGTCTCTGCCCCTGACAGTATTGGGGTTTATAAGGCACTCTCATAGCCATACACATTTTCCACCAGTGCTAGAGATCCCAACTCAGGTCCTGTGCTTGTGCGGCAATTACCCTTACCCATTGAGCCATCTCTCTGCCTCCCTAGGAACCTAGCTGTAATAACCACATACTTTTCATTTCAACAGGTGAAATCAGGCAGCATCTTTGACAATTTCCTTCTGACAAATGATGAAGAGTTTGCTGAAGAGGTTGGAAATATGACCTGGGGATTAAGAAAGGTGAGATGTTCCTTCATCATGAATTCTAGATGTCTGATTCTGCCATTTGCAAAATCAAGACTCACAGTGATTGTCCCAATTCTGGTCACTTGGCCTTGAGAAACAGAGAACTCACATTCACTGGACACCTTCTTCAACTCTGTATTTGTTAACCTGAGCACTTTGCAAAAAGCATCTCACTTGACCCTTAACGCGACCTTGCAATAGAGATACTATTCCATTTCTCAATGAAAACTGAGAGTCAGAAGCTAAACCGCCCATGGTCGCACCCAGCCTTTGAATTGAGTTGCAGCCTGAACCCAGAATCCACGCTCCTTTTGTGTGCCACACTGCCTTCTCAGTGTGCCATTAGAGGAAGCCACTCAGCCCACTTCAGTCAATTTGGACATCAGAGGAAGTGGCAGTGCTGTTTACCAGCTCCTCCCTTTCCACAACCATTTTATGTGTGGAGTGATATTTGAGATATTGGGCTTCATGGGAAATGGGATGGGGCATTCTGCATCCAGATGTCCTATCCCTGCAGGAAGGTCAATTCAAGTAGGTTTATAGACAGTGTTTAATAGTTCAGCAGGAAACTTAGGTACCAGCAAAGCACAGACACAGAGATTAAAACCAAAACCCACAACCTTGCCCCTGCCTGCACTGAGCTGCAGAAATGGCTCCATTGATAAAACAATTGCTGTGCAGGCTTAAGGATCAGAGTTCGAATTCTCAGAGCCCACATAGAAGCTATATGTATCTCTAGGGACACGTATGCTAGACAAGCGTTTTGCTGTATGCTAGAACTCTTTTTACTTTTTATTTTAAGACAGGGTTTCACAAAGTTACCCAGACTGACCTTCAACTCACTCTGTAGCCAAGCCAAGGCTGGCCTTGAACATGTGCTCTTTGTCTTCAGCCTAAGTAGTTGAGATTACAGGTCTGTGGCACCAGGCCTGTCTCCCAATAGATCTAACTGAAGCTATTAGGCTTGGAGCATTTGCCTTTATCCTCTGGGCTATTTTGCTGACCCCGTGCTCAGCTTAAAAATATTTTTTAGTCTAGTTTTGTCTTGTTTTACTTTAGTGTTATCTTCCTTATTTTGTGATACTAGAGAACTGATGTAGAGCTTTGTTCACACTAGATACTCACTATTACTGAGCCACTCCCCAGCCCTCTAATACTGTTGTATTCTTGTTATTTATTGGTTAGAACATAAGTGTTCTTAGGTAAACTGCTTAGGTTCAAATCCAGGCTCTATCCTTGACTAGCTATATGCACTTAGTCTGTGTATTAACCTTTGAATTGGGAATAATGGTAGCACTATCATTTAAGTTTCTAACACCTAGCATGTGTTCAATACATGATAGCTATTAAATGATATATTCACTTGAGAGATACTTGGTAAGAGTCTGTTTGCCATAGCAATTGCTGGGGACATGGCAACAAATTAAAATTGATACATTCCTATCTTGATAGGGCTTGTATTCAGTTTGGGGAAAGCAAATGTAGAACATCCATAGGAGCTGAGTGTGATGGCATGACCACCACTGCAGTCCCAACAGGGAGGATGAGGCAGAGGCAGAAGGATTAAGAAAGAGTTCAAGGGTCAGGCACAGCAGTGTGCATCTTAGATTCCAGCACTTCAAAGGCAGAAACAGGTGGATCTCTGTGAGTTTGAGCCCAGCTTGGTCTACATGTTGAGTTCCAGAACAGCTGGGGCTCCATAGAGAGACCTTGTCTCAGAAAAATTAAAAGAAAAAAAAAAGAAAACATTCAAAGCCATTCTGGACTATATAGCAAAACTCAGTCTCCAGAATGAAATAAACAAATGAATAAATTAGAATTGCAAATATTAGATTCCTCATATAGAAGGTGGGATGTGTGACCTTATGCATCATTGTGAGGAATACAAATAACACACAAGTTTTGTTTAGCCTATGATGGGCAGTGACATAGGTACCTAGTAATAGATGAATTAATTTTAGTATTTTATTTAATTTTTAAAATAATTTGATTCTTAACATTTTTATTACATTTACTTATGATATTTTTTATAATGTTACATATTATTAAGTATGAGTGCATGCACATGCCACAGTAATAGAGGTCAGAGGACAACTTGTGCAGTTGGTTCTCTCCTTCTACAATGTGAGTCCCAGGGATCAAACTCAGCTCTTTGGGCTTGGTGTCAAGCACTTTTACCTTAGTCAACTTGCCAGCCCACTTTATATTTTTAAACTTATTTTACTTTAGTTTTTATTTCATTTTGAGATAAGGCCTTAGGTAGCCCTTAAATTCTTTGTCTAGCAGAGGATAACTTTGAACTCCTGATCCTGTCTGCACCTTCCAGGTGCTAGGATTATGGGTGTACAACAGTATGCCTAGTTTTGAATCTATTTTATTTACATCAACACCCAGACACAGATTTCTCTCCAGCCCAGAGGTACTGAAATTTATATGTAAATAAACACCATCCTAGAAATCCTTAAGCCAATGAGAAGACAAGAGATGTTTCTAAAATGGGCTTTCTGTTTATATCATCTGTGAAACTTTGAAATTCCACATTTTAAACAGGATGTGGAGCAGCAGTGGAGAGAACTGTATGAGGAAATGGAGAAACAGAAGGAGGCAGAGGAGGCCAAGAAGAAGAGGGAAAAGCAGCGAGCCAGGCAAGAGGACATCTGGGGACTAGATGAGGAGGACGAGGAGGACAATGAAGAGGACGCTGAGGAGGAAGCAGAGGAAAGGCCCAAGCAGGAAGGTAGTGCCGCGAGAGCATCTCTGGATCAAAAGGAAGCCCATTTTGATCAGAAGGATGAACTGTAACTACAGAGACAATGGGTATGGAAGAAGCAAGAGACTTCTTAGAAAGAGAAATGGTCACAAGCTTAGCAAATTATGGGAAGTAAAACGACTCACTCATTTTAGATAAACTTTGGATTTATATTTCTATTCCCCTTCCCTGCTCTATGTGCTTATTGGTAGAAAGGGAATGATAATTTTATCTCATGAGGTAGTTGTAGGGACTGAATGAGGTAATAATGTGTGTAAAGTGCCCAAAGTAAATATATTGTAAAAAAAAATGTAGTAGTTAAAACTACTATCATTATTATGATGTTTATGAAATTAATTGTTGGTAAATAAGCTTCTATATAAACTTGGTTCTTACTTTCAACTGGGATTTTTCTTTTGTTTAAATATATGCTTTTGTTTGTTTGTTTGTTTGTTTGTTCTGTTTTTGTTTTTTTCGAGACAGGGTTTCTCTGTGTAGTCCTGGCTGTCCTGGAACTCACTCTGTAGACCAGGCTGGTCTTGAACTCAGAAATCCGCCTGCCTCTGCCTCCCAAGTGCTGGGATTAAAGGCGTGTGCCATCACCGCCCGGCAATATATGCATTTCTTAGTATTTCCTGAGCAGTGCAAACAGTTATACCCAATGTTTCCTCTTTTGAATGTATTGAGCACCCAAAGCCAAAATCAGAACATCCTTTAAAGGTTTGGAAAAACACTTCATGAAAGTCACTTTGTTTGCCTGCTGCTCTTGCCCTAACGTTTAAACAACAGTTACTTGTTTGCAAGTTTGCTTGTCTCATTTCTATCTTTTTTTGTTCTACCGGCTCATAGCATCATTATCTCTTGCCTTCTTGTAGTTCTTTATAGATTAGAAACCATTTTCCCACAAATTTGCAGTGTGCCTACAATGCATCTATTCAATCCTACACTGCAGAGCTCATTGCTATCTTCATGTTACAGACACAGAAACTTGTTCAGGGTCAGTCAGTAAGGCGTGGGCCAGGATCTGACCTCAAACTCATCTGGCTGAAAAGCTTAGTCTTCTACTGCACCAGGCTATTTGAATGAATATCTATTACTATGGATTATAGACAGTAGGTGACCTGTTATATGGAAGAAATGTCCTTATGTCCTTTTGGGTTAGTTTTTTGTTTTCTTTAAATCCAACATTTAAGGAACGAATAAACTATAGGGTTACAAACACAAATCAAGGTGCTCACTAAATATCTGTTGGAAAGAATGAACTCCTATCTTCAACTACATAGTAACCTCAAGGCCAACCTGGACTAAGACCCTGTCTCAAAAAACAAATAAACAACAAAACAACCAACTCACTCTGCCTATGCCTGCAGGTTTCAGAGACAACTTCACAAAGAGAGTAACTTTTGAGCCAGGTATTGAAGAATGCGGGAACATGTGGAACAGATTTACAGTTAAAGAACAAGGAGACTGGATAACAGGAAGTGGAGTCATTAGATCAGTGAGAGTGACAGGAAGTTCTCCTTTCCTCCCTGGAAGCTGGGCCCTAGTCAGCTTGTTTTGTTTCTTAGAAAAATTAAATGTTTACTTTTTAAAGGGATATCTTTTATTCATTCTTTGACATTTGTATACGTGTATACCTGAGCACCTTGCTCCCCGTTTGAGACAGGTTCCCACGGTCTCACCCTGCTGCACTGACTGGCAGAGAATTTACTATGAAACATAGGTTGCCTTTGAATTTCCTCATACCTCAGCCTGAGTGCTGGAATTGCATGCATGCAAAAACTGCTCTGCTCCTAATGGTGGGTTTGGGGATTTTTAGAATATTCTAGATTAGGAGACAGTAAGATGGGTAAGGGAGCTAACCATCAAAACATGAGTTTCATCTCTGAGTTTCACATGGTAGAAAGAACCAACTCTTGCAAACTGTCTTTCACACACATGCAGTGTACATACATAAGAATTAATAAATATTAAAAAAAAAAACAATTTTAAGTGGCAGTTGGGAGTGGAAGAAACTTGGAAAGATTAGCACCTGCCAGCCCACAGACTGTAGAGAGTTTTCATAGCCAGGGGGATGGAACACCAACCCACAAAAGGGAGTTTCAAAATAATATTGTTTTAAAATATTATACATGAGTTGTTTAAGATCTCTCTGGCACTGCCTGATACCAAGCGCACTGAGACGTCACTTTTGAGATCTCAGCCCAGACCCAGATAAGGGTGATGAGATGGGCTTAATGCAGCTAATTCTGTGGCACAAACCATTTTCTCTTCCACTATAGAAGTCAGGAGAGCACGCAATGGTCCTCTCAGCATTAAAGAGCACATGACACTTTCTGCAAGCAGTGAGAAATGGGAGACACATGAAACTTGCTCTCAGAGCTGTGGATGAGTGACAGAGTGTGTACGTAATGTCCACAGGACCCTAGCACTGGGAGAACTAAGGGTGAGTCTCAGAAGTCTCATTATCCTTATTTGGTTACTTCTAATGAATAAAGTAAACAATAAGGTTGTCCAAAGATGCCGGGCAGTGGTGGCACACACTTTTAATCCCAGCACTTGGGAGGCAGAGGTGGGCAGATTTCTGAGTTCGAGGCCAGCCTGGACTACAGAATGAGTTCCAGGACAGCCAGGACTATACAGAGAAACCCTGTCTCGAAAAAACAAACAAACAAACAAAAAGGTTGTCCAAAGATACCTAAAGCTAGGACCTTAACAGTGCAATATTTGTTTTGTTCTGGGCTAACACTTCCTAGAATTCCCTTTTCTGTTTGACCCAGCCTTGTACAGAGAATTGAGGTTTCCCAAGATAGAGTCTCTACCTGGGCTCTCTTTGGTTGTCAGTAAAGCAGGCCCATACCTGTCTTCTTCCTCTGTGGAGAAGACAGCATGCATTAGGCTGAAAAGACATCTTCTAAGAAGAAGAAATAATTATATTGCTGCTTCTAAGCTGTAAAGCAAGCAGTAAATTAAAATAAAACAATGACAACAAAGCCGTTGCAAAATGTGTATGTCATGGAATGCTTTTTAAGTTAAATGTAAACGTTTTATTTTATGTATATAGGTATTTTCCATGCATGGATGTTTGCCCACTACTTGTGTGCCTGGTGCAGGCAGAGCCCAGTAAGGATATCAGATCCCTTGGAACTGGAGGTACAGATTGTTGTGAGCTGCCATGTGAGTGCTGGGAATTGGACTAGGGTCATCAGCACTCAGAGCTGCTCAACCATCTCTCCAGCCCTATGCCATGCTTTAAAAAGACATTTTGTATTGTGACTGCATTCTCTAAATGCTTCCCCAAAGTACTCAGCCTCTAGCCCAGCTGGCTTCTCTGGGAAAAAGCAGAAGCAATCGGGCGAGAAAGCCACAAGGGGCAGAGGACAGAGGAAATGGCAAGCGAGAAAGCAGCCGCCCAAGCTCACCCCCCCCTCTTAAAGTCAGCTTCTGTCTTTTTTTTAAAGATTTATTCAATTATATATGAATACACTGTAGCTGTCTTCAGACACACCAGAAGAGGGTATCAGATCTCATTACAGATGGTTGTGAGCCACCATGTGGTTGCTGGGATTTGAACTCAGGACCTCTGGAAGTGCAGTCAGCGCTCTTAACCACTAAGCCATCTCTCCAGCCCCTCACCCCTCTCTTTTAAAGTCAGCTTCTGGCAGGTATCAGGAAGAGTCAGACTCAAGAGGGAGGAGCGGCAGGCAGGCAATAGAGCTCTGTACCCCATACGTGAAACCTGGCCCATCATCCTTTGTGTACACAAGTGCTCCCCTTCTGTGCAGTTCAGCCTACCTTCCAAGTCACCGATTGTCTTTTCAGGTTTTTTTTTTGTTTTGTTTTTTGTTTTTTTAACAACATTTCAGCAAACTCAGCAGATATCTGCTTCTCTCTGAGTCTCCCAGCAAGAATCTTGATCTCTTCTTCACCTTTACCTTCAAAGCCAGTCAGAACAATCTGCTTATCTATTTCTCTACAGAGGACTCCCCTGTTCAGCTGGTTCCCCCGTGGTTTCCTTCAGTTATCACCTTAGGAGTTTCCTCTTCACACTTCCTATCTGGCATTTATTTATTTATTTATTGACAGCATTTCTCTTTACAGCCCTGCCTGGCCTGGAATTCAAAATGTAGACCAACCTGGCTTGGAACTCACAGAGATCCACCTGCCTTTGCTGAGACTAACTGTATGTCACCATGCCCCCATCCCTGCCTCTGTGGTCTATCT